GTGATTTCAATGCCTGCCTCCCGTTCGAAAATTTGCAGAAGAAAAAAATTGATTTACATGAAGAATTTTTTTTTAATGATCTCAAATTTTTTGGCTTCTAAATAAAAGATGGACATTGATTAATAATTCACCCATAAAAAATACCAGATGCTTTCCAATAGCTGAAAAAGTGGGGATGAGTGTCAACTTACAAGAGAAAAGAACCTTCCGGGTTTACTTTTTGTCTGGCAATCGAGAGAATGAAAGGTTTTGTTGTAAAAATAACGCTGAAAAATCGCCAGACGGTAATCTCAGTTCGAAATCGAGTTTTCCGGCGAAACATTCTGTGGACATTTCGAACAGGAGGCAGGCATTAAAACCACTTATATTCTCATCAGCTAACTAGCCACATTCATCCCTCAAAATGCCAGACAAAAAAAAATGACTCCACTAAACAGGCCCTATCTCAGGGTCTATAATTTCGCTCATGAAATTTTTGACAAAACCACTCGCCTAACCATAGAAAAGTGATTTATATTCTTGAAATAGAACGCTCACTTCTGTTGTAGTCGCCAAGTGACATTTCTGACGGTGCTGCCATAGCGGTGTAGTCATTGAACTAATATTTGGCGGGCCGTTTGAATCTCGGTTTTAAATTACTGATTTGACATTTCAATTATTTCAAAATAAGGCAGTGCTTCAAAACTCCAAAAACTAAAATTTTATACATTTTATTTTCATATATTTTTGTGAGAATCACTTAATGAATAAAATAGTCTATAATCTATTCATAGATGATCTGGCGTATCTGACTCATGAGCTGACTGAAACACTTTCCAATCTGCTTTTTGAAAATGTTCATTTTTCCAGTTAAAAGGCTGTCATATTTGATCAAGTTATTTATAATTTTCTCGAGCATGTATGGAGTATCATACAGTGACACGATTTCTAGGTTGTTCATCTCCAACAAAACCAAAATTTCTGTTTCTGTGTTGTTTTTTATGTAGATTTCCCTGGTCTGTGGCTGCAATTCGCTTTTGGCCGATTCATTTTTTGCCGCCTGGTCACACACTAGGGCAACAACTCTAAAACCGGCTGCTTATGATGATGCACTTTATCACTTCTTTCACAGTCTTGGAATTCAAAACAATCAACGACGATGCACTCAACAAATTAATTCAGATGACAAGATGACATTTGCATCATTTGCATTATGATGTTAAATTGACACCTGCGTTTTTATGACTGGTTTTTATATACACGATTCTATGTCGGTCATTGTCATTTTCTATTCACTAAACAAAGATAGCTAACTCATCTGTGAAGTCAGAGATTAGAATAAGAACGAGGGGGACGTTGAGAAACGGCGATATGGGCGCACAGCGGTGTAGTCACGAACTGAAACAAAAAATGGAGGGGATGAATCCAGTGAATATTCTATTTAAGAATTTATAAATCATTTTTCTATGCGCCTAAGGCGCAATTCACACAGAACGGGCGTGTGGTGGTGGCGTGGGACTGGCGTGGTACGGGCATATGCCACTCGCACGTTAGCCTATGAGACAATTCACATAGAGGTGACATGGAACTGGCGTGATTGCTCCCACCACCACCACGCCACTTCGGTGCCATGAGAAGCCTACACGAGTGACACATGCCCTAGGAATTCAGTGTTGTTTTTCGATTTTATCCGAAAATGCGGGACGATTTTCAATTTAATATAGAGTTCTGCGAAGAAGTGCAACAGTATGCAAGTTTATACGATTATAAACGATCGGATTATTGCAACAGAAGTGTGCAAGACCAGGCATGGGAAAAAATAGCTAAGAAATTTAGTGCAAATGGTAAGTACTTGTTTATTAACTGCTCATATTAATAATGTTAACATTAACACAAAAAAAATCATACACAATATCTGTCCTGATGAGGAATTGGGGCGCGATCTTTGAAATACTTGCTTAGATAAATTCTCATACATTTAGCGTTTTGTAATTGTATTGGAGTGACGTCGCCAACGATAACGTTTTCATGTACCTACTGGTCTTGAAAATGTGCCATCGCACTCCTTGATAGCGTTGTGCAACACACACATTGCTTGAATTAGAACATCGATGTTAGCAGGGTTACATCGAATAAGTGTCTGTAGAAGTCCGAACTTCGTTGTTAGCATACCAAAAGCGCATTCATTTGATTTCCGTGCTCTCGAGCACCTGACATTGAAAATTTTTTGTTCGTTGTCGTTCAATTCTCTTCGAGAAAAGGGCCTCATTAAATTTTTAGAGAGGGGAAATGCCTCATCGCCCACAAAAAAATAGGGCACTGGATGAGGTTCTCCAGGTAGTGCCGCGGGTTCAGGTATATTGAGATGTCCTTTCTTTAAGGCTTTTCCAAAGTTGCTATTTTTCAATGCTCTTCCATCACTATTACGCCCGAATTCACCTACATCGATTGTTACAAATCGACCATCTGCATCTGCCACTGCTAGCAAGACAATAGAGAAAAACCCTTTATAGTTGATAAACTCAGACCCCGACCGTGGTGGTGCTTTTATTCGTATATGTTTACCATCTATGCTACCAATACAGTTGGGGACATTCCATAGTTCATAGTAACGCTGTGCTATTTCTCTCCACTTAGCTCTTGTAGGTTTTGGCATATATACAGGTTGTAATTTCTCCCATATGACTTGGCTGGTGTGATGCACGATTCCTTGTATAGTAGAATGACCTCTCAGGAAGTAGAAAGAGAGCGCTTTGAAGGAACATCCAGTAGCGAAGTACCTGTAAATAAAAAAATGTATCAATGTTAACATGAAACTTCCCTGATTTTTGTATATTATTAAATTAGTTGTTTCAATAAGGGGGATCGACTGGATACAAGTTTTATTAATTTCCTTGAACCTTCCCTAATGATGGAACTATAACTTAAAGTTTACTTTGTCCAAGAAACTAAGTTCTGGTAGCGTATATCTATATTTCAAATTTGTTTCTTTGTTGTTTCAGTGACCGAGTGCAAAGACCGATGGAAAAACCTAAAAGGCAGCTATTCAAAATATAAGGCAAAACTAAAAACAAAATCAGGACAGGGAGCTAAACGAGTTAAAGAATATTATCTGGCTCCACATCTTCTCTTTTTGGATCCTTTCTTGAAATCTCGCAAAAGCAGAGGGAACATGGATGAAGAGTCGGACACATTATCAGATGGAGTGGAGGCAGGCACGAGTGAGCACGAAGCTAATAGCGACAGTGCTGAGGTGTTGCCCCTTGATGATAACAGTATTTTATCGATGGCTTCCTCTCATTCACCTCTGCCATCCCCCAGTACTTCCAATTATACTCAGCCGTTATCAATAAAAATACCTGAAACACCAATACCGAAAAGAGACGATTTTAGAAAAAGAAAGAAGTTACCGGTCTCCGCCACCTCCATCAATGAAGTTAACAACCAAGCTTATCAGTATTTTGAAAAAAAACAACACACGTTGGAGAGTCAAAACACGACGAAGAAGACAAACACCACAATCGAGCCCCAGGACCCTGACTTGGCGTTTTTACACAGTGTTCTCCCGAACATGAAGTCTATGAACAGTACCCAGAAGCGACATTTCAAATTGGGAATTTTGAATTTGTCCGAGCAAATACTCTCCTGCACCACTTCTGCATTTCCTGCTCCACCAACGAATGTCCCTCAGTCTTGTAGTCAAGACTCAGTGAACGCAAATTTGAATTCACCGTCGCAAGGAAATAACTTATCAGGGAGGCCTTCCTTTTGGAGTACCCATTCAATGGACAGAAATCTAAATTCTACTTCCCAAGGGAACACGGAAGTCTCAAGAGAACCTTTCAATATGAATGAATTCATCCAATACAACAATTAGTACTTTAGAAATAACACTATCAGCATATAGTTTTTATTTTGTATTAAACTTAAATAAATGAAGTTACTTTAATATTTTTTTTTCAACTTACCTCAGCGTTATTAACAGCCTCTCCTCTGGACTGACAGGTTCCCTCCAATTTGTAGATTTTTTTTCTAGATCAACTCTTACTAAACTTAATATTCTATGAAAACAGTCTGTAGACATTCGGTAGAAGCTTTGAAAACGTTCAGGGTACATGTTGAGCTCCCTCATAACGTTAAACGCACCACTACTTTTTCCTTTATCTAACCATAATGGATGTACCCAGTATCTTCTTTCTCTTTGCATGTTTGCTAAATTTACAAGGTTCAACATATCCAGATCATCTTCGTCGTCATCTGAGAACATTTTCACTTCTCTTCAAATGTCACTACGATGTTTACAACTGAATGACAAAAATCGGACTCGATTCGCTTCTATGTGGATTGAGCGCGCCACGTCCGCTCCACAGCTCCACCACGTCAGTCCCACGCCACCACCACGCGCCCTTCCTGTGTGAATTGCGCCTAACGTCGCCTGACGGCTCGTGGTTTTGTCAAAAATGTTATTCGCGAAAGTGCCAAGCAACAAACTTTCATAGCAGTCGAAAATTTAGTCAACAAATTTTTTTCTTTTGTGGTATTAATGATTATAATATATTAATATATTCCTATTTCTGGGCAAAAAAGTCAAGCCGTTTGGGTGCTGCGTCGAAAGAATTAGATTTTTTGATCGACTTTACCCCGGTTGACGGAACAGTGTGGTAAAAACATATAAAATATGAAAACAACTCACATCCTTTAGATTATTTTTTTTTCGCGGACAAGTAGGTTAAACTAATAATCTATCAGAAAATTTTCGGATTAGGGCAAAACCAAATTCCAATCAATCAACGGTATCACGCATGATCTAGGATCAAGGTTGCATCTAGGATAATGTTTTTTATTTGGCTTCGTACAAACAATGGTAGACAAAGTTCAGATTATCATTTAGAAATGCATTTATTTGAAATTTATATCTAAAGTAAGTACCTACTTGTTTTAATCCACTTTGAGTAAACAATAAATACAGGGTCGTTTCTTACTATAGCTCATTATCATTTTCGACTGAAGCAATCGAATACAAAAATGAGCAAATTAGTCTTATTCTTAATGTTATCAGTTGCTGGAATTAGTGCAGAAAACGGCTCATTCATAAATCTAAACAATAGTTCCGGTGATGTTACCTTAGGCAATAGCCTTTTTAATATAACTTTCCACAAAAATGGCAAAGCTCAATCGGTTTACAAAAATAATGTTAATTTAATTGACAATATTAGTAAAAATTCGCAGACTTGGTATTTGGATTGGGACGGCGGGAAAGGATACTTTCACCCATCCAAATATGAAGTTATTGAAGATTCAAGTGAAAAGGTGCATTTTAGGTTCATACAGGAAGCTTCTCTTGGGAATTTGAATATCGAGTTCCATTTAGGTAAAGTAGGTTATTGGATTATTATATTATTATTCATTTATATTTTTTATTGATAAATAAGCTAATGTCCATTTTCATTATTTATAGTTGTATTATCAAACGCGAGCGGTCTCTATCAATACATTAAAGTTTCCAACCCCACAAATGCCACAATAGGTTTGGGGGAATTTAGAACTGTTTACAGGTTCGATCATAATCTGATGCCGAAAGTAACAAATATTGTGGATCACGGTAACACGCCCAATTTAACAGGTAGACCTACCGTTCAGGATACCACGTGGCAATTGGCGGATGGGACTTATTGGTCAAAATATGATTTTTGTGGGTATATCAGGGAAACACCTTGGTTTGGTGTTTATGGAGGTAAGAATTATTATAGTTCAGGTAACATTTTGCGGTAAACTGGGGTTACAGCCTAATTGAAATTCAATGTACCGGGTGTTTCACCTAAGGAGGTAACCGGTTATATCTCAGGAACTAATAGTCCTAGAGCTTCCAAGTAATTTTTTTTTTTTCATAAAAAAGGCCATGAAAAATTGCTGGAAATAGTTTTCAAGTTTGTAAGTTAACCGTTAGGGGGCGCAACGAACACTCGAAAACATAATACTGTGATTATCTTCAAAAAACGTCCATTAAAGGTACTCTAAAAATATGATCATTGAAATCTTGATGAGATTACGAAAAAAAATTGTTAAGGATTTTTTGCCCTTAATGCCTGGTTTATACTTCTGAATTAAGAATTAAACTAAATTGAAAATATAAACTAAACTAAAAAATTAAATGTTAAGTCTCCATAATTTGATGCTGTCGTTTATACCTCAAATTAAAAAATTAAATTAAATTAAAAAGGGATGTTCCGAGAGAATCTTTAAAAGGGGTGTGACCCCAAAAAACGACTTAAGCTACTTAAATTAAGAAAAACTAGAAAACCGCAGTCCTATATTCAAAATAGTCTTCAAGAAAATTCCATTTGAAGATAAATTATGCAGGAGCTTGTGATGTCACAACCGCCGAAATCGCAGTCTTCTGTTCGTTCAGTCGTCAGTGAACCGTACCCCATACTTTAAGTGGTTGCAATTCGTTCTAGGATATAATTGTCTTTTGTTTTAGAAAATTCTTACACGTGTTAATACTGTCCCTGATAATCCAGTGTGACGTCACAAAAACCTAGTTGTAACTTTAAACCGCCCTAACTCGAAAACGGATCATTGTAGCAATATGCGGTTTAAACATTTATTCTTAGATTTTTTTGCACTAAAACTTTCATTTTTGGGTCACACTCCCTTTAAAACTTGACAGTATAAAAAGTGGGCATATCTCATTACAAAAATTAGTAATGCTGCACAAGTGGTCACCAGCAGTCTACTGCGAATTTTAGTTTTTATTAGTGTTAAATAGGAAAACCCTCTTTCAGCTATTGCTGATGAATGTGGAAGGCAAAGAATCACCTTTACAATTTTCATTGAATTTGGAAACATTGGTTCTCCAAGTGGATTTTCCATAGTAGCAACTTTGAACCAAAATTTTGAAACATCTATTTTGTCTACTTCTCCCATATCTACTTCATTTAGATAAAGCCATTCTGCATTGGCTGCTTCTATATTAATTTCAATATTTGGGAATAAATTTATGAAATTACCCAATGAAAGAACTTTTCCTGAAACAGCATTTACAGGTGACAAATAATAGGCAAACTTTAATACTTTGTCTTCAAAATTGAATCGGCTTGTAATTTGTGATGTTAATTCTATGTAAAAATCGAGTGCTTTCAGTTGAAATGATTTAAGTTCATCACTAGCAATATTATTGGGAGCAGATAGTAAGGCATCTGCTCTGGCACCAAAATAAATTTTAGATATCTCTATGTAATTTCTCGGATAATTTACATTAATAAGTTGCATACTTACTGTATCCAAAACTTCCTTTTTAATGAAACATTTTAGGAGGATTTTATATTTTGAAATCTTATCTAAAAACAGAGGAATTTGTGGTGTTTCAGACTGAAATTCTATGTTCACTTTTATCACAATTTCTAAAACATGATATAAAAAATATAGATACACTTTGTAAATGTTACTTCTTAGGGCATTTAAAATTGATTTTGCCATTGGTATATTATCTTCTAAGGCAGCTCTGGTGAAAAAAATGCGTAATGATTCCCAGTGATTTAGAATACGGTTTACAACTTGCCTCAAAGAAAGCCATCTGGTTTGGCTGGGATATAAAAGTCTGGTTGGTTTCTCCTGGTGAATATTTGGCAATCCTGTAGCTCCTCTAGCCTTTTAGAACTATGACTAAAGTAGGTATATATATATCCCTGGCAAATTGCTCTATATTATCAGGTAGCTTTTTTGATGCCGCAGATGTGCAAAGATGAAGTGAATGGGAAGCACATCCTTGAACATACAAACCAGGTGCAAGTTTTGCCTGAACGCCTTTCAGGTGTCCCATCATTGTGCTAGCATTATCAGCTCCAAAGCCTACCAAATTGGTCAATGGAATGTCAAATTTATGAAATAACTCCTGTATTTTGATAAAAATGCCATTTGCAGAACAATCCTCAATTTTTAACTGGTCAAAAATTCTGTCCTGAATCTTTGACTCACTATTGTTCCAGTATCTCACAATAACTATCAATGATTTTTGTGTTGAAATGTCTGTGGATTCATCAATTATAAGTGAAAAAAAGTCGGATTTGAGATTGCCCGCAGTGTTTAATTGAGCACTTGGAGCAACGACCCCAAATATCACTTGAGTAGCCTTTTTTCTTTGAGATTTTACCAAGCTTGAAACTTTCGAATTCGGAAAAATTGTTTTGCAAAATTGAGGTAAAGTGTTCATTAAAACAAATGGTAATTTGTGTTCTACTATGTAGGCGCAGTACCTATGTTTTGCCTCTTCAACCAGCATTGCTGGTTTTTCTTTGGCAGGGTCTACAAGAAGGGTTTTAACATTTGGTGTTTTTTTTACTGCTTCCATCACATTTTTGTGCCTATTAGAATTTGAATGCCTCAAAATGTGATACTTGGTACCTTCAATGTTAGTTGAACAGAATTTACAAAAGAACTTATCTTTTTGTGGGTCCAGCCATTTAAATTTTTCTTGCAGTTGACATTTCATATTTGCTGAGAGATTAGATACTTTTTTTGTTCTTTTCCTTCTTTAATGAAGATTCTGCAGAAATTACTTGAGTCCCTGAATTACTGTCACTAATACTATCTTCACTGACATCGACATCACTAACTAATTTTGATACATCATCATTAGTAGGATGGCTCTTTGTAGTAATTGTAGTATCGATTGTTCTTGTAGTGAATGTTTCCTTGCTTGTTCCTTCATTTATTAGGCTGCTACTATTGCTGCTAGTTGAAGTTGATGCCAATGACGGACCGGCAGCAGCAGCAGGTTGAAGTTTATTAGCATTACTTGGTTTTCTGGTTACAGTTAGAAAGAAGCTGAAAAACAATATGAAATTGAGGATAGTAAAAATACCTATATTTTGGGAATAATAATTATTTATAATGATTATGATCGCGTATTAATTAAGTTGTTCTTACCTGATGTCGAGTTTTTTCATTTTTTTCATCAATTTTCAATTCCATTTAAAATATTTGAACAAATTACAAAAAAGTTCTTGAAATACTGGAGATTATTTAGGTTTAGAGAGAGCCAGAGAGGTACCTATGTAAGGTTATGTCTTATGTAAATTGTCGAGCAGGCTGGGACTGGGCGTTGCAGCCGGGCGGGCAGTGGCGTACAGGTTACTAGAGTGTACTGAGTGTAGAGTGTAGAGTATGGGAATATGTAGGTAGAGTACAGTGTACTTACACTCAGTACAAATTTACTGAAATGAAACCCCAAATTCAGAATATTTTGTGTTCTATTTAGTGACTAAAAAATTGTGGCAGATTTATTGTAGAAATCAAAATGTGCATATACAGTGTGTCCCAAATTGGTGGTGCATGTATTAGGATATAGGAAATTATAACAGATACGAGGGAGGTTAAATGAAAAAAGTTTTAGACAATTATGTTAGACGTTTGATAGCATTTGCAGATTGACTCTAGCTATTCACATATTTGAGATATTTAGAAAAAACTGAAAAGTTGTTTTTTCGAAAATGGGCTGTAAATCTTTTATTTTTGAAAATTTCTCAAATCTGTAAAAACACTTTTAAAGCAACTCTTTGTGCAGAATACGCATGTGTGCTTAGATTTTTTTTAGCACGTTTCGGTTTTCTGGAACCATCATCAACTTCATTATTTCTTATAGCCGCCATATTGGATTTTCATACCGTGAAATAGAGTGAAAAAATACAAAATCAATGATATAATACACTTGATCAAAATAATCAATGTTCGCCATAGAAAATACGTTTTTATGTTTTGATCAACTTGGTAACCTAACGTCGCATTACAGAAAATTTAGTACAAGGAAGAAAATTATTTTATAAATACAAATGAAAACAATAAAAATCTAAAGGAGTGATGTCAGGAGACCAAGCTGGCCAAGGAACTGGACCGCAATTAGCAATTCTTTTTCTAAATGTTAATGTATCATGCAAAAATTCCTGAATTTCTTGGGTATTATGAGCAGGACAACCGTCTTGTTGAAACCAAACCCTATCGAACTGCGCTTCAGGCCTGATGCTGCTATTGAACAAAATTTTAATAAAAATCCGTCATCTTCGACCCGAGAGGCTGGTAGAAAACTTCACATACCTAAGTCCACTATTCATAGAGTTTTGAAGCAACATAAATATCTAATATCTAGCCTTCGAGGAGATAGCTATCTAAGGAGGATGGAGGCTCGAGTTTTGTAACTGGTACATTATTGAACGCAGCGCAGATCCCGCTTTTCCAAATTATTCTGTATGTTCTGATAAGACTAGATTTAGTAATTGTGGAGTATATAATCGTCACAATTCACAATTTCCACTTCTGGTCAACAGAAAATGCAGAATTTAGAGCTCAGCTAAGGTTGCAAGTTCGTTTCGGGTT